GCATAGAGTATGGAGTATAACCCTAATGTACATTTTGAGGATTTATTTAACCTTTTGTCATGCCATGATTTTGAAAGTTCTTATTAGGTCCTCTGACTGAAAGCTCCTCAGATTTTCTCATAAAATGGATTCTTGAGAATTGATATTATCATTGTTGTACCCTATACAAAACAATGATATCCCGGTATAGAAGCAAGTAATTGTTTTCATGCTGTTCCAGAAGGACACTGATAAATGTGTGATATAATAACAGCATACTCTTCTACTTTGTGGTCTCTCCTTCTACTAATATAACCTATAGTCCCATTGGTATTTTTAATGGATGCTGTGCGCTCAGCCATCGGTTCCAATGATTTTTTCAGAGTAAATACTGTCCCTGGATGCTTGCTGCAATTATCAACTATTTCTGTATTTTGAGAAACAAAAGGGTGTTATGATGGAATATTCTGATGGTTTCCCATTTCAGAGGACCATGGTACCAAATTAGGACACTGTTGAAAACAGTGTGTGGTTTTATTTACAATTTCTGATCAGGAATCAATGAAATAGCCATAGAAACCATCTACAGGCAGTCCCCGGGTTACGTACAAGATAGGGACTGTAGGTTTGTTCTTAAGTTGAATCTGTATGTAAGTCGGAACTGGCGTCCAGATTCAGACACTGCTGAAACTGACCGCCAGTTCTGACTTACATACAGAATCAACTTAAGAACCCCAGGCGTCCCCAAGTCAGCTGCTGCTGAAACTGATCAGCAGCTGATTCCAGGAAGCCCGGGGCAGAGCAACTCTGCCTGGGGCTTCCTAGCGAGAAAGCCCCGTTCGTAAGTGCGGATCCGACGTAAGTCGGATCCGCGTAAGTCGGGGACTGCCTGTATATGCAATAACATGTCACTTACTTTTGAGATATTTTCTGCAATCTGGTAGCTAAATATTTATTTAGTTTTAATTTATTTATTCTTCTTTGAAAACCATGTTCTTTCGAAATCAGTTCACCTTATCGATAATTTTAAGTTCTGCTAGTGATTAAATTTGTATCTAGTTAAAGGGATGGGGACCTATGGCCCAGCATGCGGCATGTCTTGATCCGGCCCACGAGGCTTGGGCTCTCTCTTCCCACAACAGAGCAAGCCAGAGCTGGCTTGTCCTGCTATGGAGTCCGGAATCCCAAGCGTAACAGGCTGGATCAATGCAAGTTACAGGCTGCATCGGGCCCACGGGCTCTGCCTAGCAGGGGAGAGGAAGTGGTTCTTCATTCTGATGTCATCCCCTACTCCCTCTGGCTGGGGAAATGGCAGCTCAGAGAAGCTCTGGTCATGTGCTGGGTCTCCCTGCTGTGCTGGGGAGTCCCCCCCAGCACACCAGGGAGACCTGGAGCAGCTTTTCTCGCCCCGGAGGACGCGGTGGTGGGACTGCTGCGCTCTGGGCGGTCCCGCTGCCTGCGAGCTCCGGGGCGAGAAAGCCCCGTTCGTAAGTCGGATCCGTGTAAGTCGGGGACTGCCTGTATACCTATTTACTCTATGATTCAGGCCCACTTTGGATACAGGATTGGTATAAATAAGGGTACGTCTAGCCTACATGTCTCTGCCAACAGAGGCATGTAAAATAGGCTACCCGACATAGTCAGTGAAGCCGGGATTTCAATATCCCCGGCTTCATTAAAATAAAAATGGCTGCCATGCTGTGCCGGCTCAGCTGATCGTCAGCACAGCGCGCAAGTCAAGATGCAGATCGGTCGACAGGGGAAGCCTTTGTCGAACGCTCCTATAAACCTCGTTTCACGAGGCACCAGGGAGCGGTAGACAAAGGCTTTCCATGTCGACCGATCCGTGTCTTGACTCGCGCTGTGCTGACGATCAGCTGAGCCGGCTCAGTGTGGTGGCCATTTTTATTTTAATGAAGCCGGGGATATTTAAATCCCTGATTCATTTCGTCGACCGATCAGCTGAGCCACCACAGTGCAGCGGCTATTTTTATTTTAATGAAGCCAGGGATATTAAAATCCCCGCTTCATTGACTATGTCAGGTAGCGTATTTTACATGCCTGTCGGCAGAGGCATGTAGTCTAGATGTACCCTGAGCTATTGGATAAGGTATGTCTACACTACAGCACTAATTTGAACTAACTTAATTCGAATTAGTTAATTGGAACTAAGCTAATTCAAACTAGCGCATCTAGACCTAAAAACTAGTTCAAATTAGCATTTTGCTAATTCAAACTAGCATGTCCACATTGAGTGGACCCTGAACCGAGGTTAAGGCTGGCCGAAAGCAGTGCCAGCAGGGCATCAGATTAGGACTTAGAGCGTGGAGCTGCTGTCTCAGGCTAGT